CAGAATCCAAAGGCAGAGAGATGAGTGATGGTGAAACTAGAAAGGAATTTATTTCAGTGAGGCCAACACCGGGAAGATAGTGGACTGGCATCTCAAAGACTGTCTCCAAAAAGCTGAAAACAGTTCTAGTTTATGTAAGGAGAATGTGGGACAAAGACTGGTAGGTAATGGGGGGCATGCAGGTGGGCAGTAAAGGTCAGGTGGGTCATTGTCTTGGAGTCCATCACGTGGGGTCCTCCTGACACCAGGGCTGTCCCTATTTCTGGGGCGGGGGTGGGTAGTTGAGGTTCCCATCACAGGATGTTTTGCCCTCCGGGTCTTTTGCCTGAGTGAAGAGATAAGCTGGAAAGAAGAACACAATCTATCACAAAGCACTGACTGAGGTCAAAATGGAAGTAGTTGGAAGTTCCCTTATCAGGCTGAAGAAAGAAAAATTAGGACAAGAACAGCAGGGGAGTTGGTGCAATCTGCCTCCATCCCGAATCGCCCGGTCCCACCTTCGTCAGTCCCCGCGCCCCCCATTCTTCCAGTCTGTTTCTGTCATAGCTTCGCTTCCATTCTTGCCTAGCATTTACGTTTTTATAACTACAAAAATGTCGCTCACAAAGGAGCCCATGAAGGATTGTAGAGTTACACTTGCTTTCTGGTAGAACTTTGATATAGCTGGAATTCATAATTGTCTTGTGTTCTTTTGGCATAGTTTTCCAAACCCCTGTAACTATCTCACCCCTGAACTCGTGGGCAGGAATATCAATGTTCTCAGAACGTTCACACTCATGTATTTGACCTGTTTGTTCTAATTCTTGGAGACCCCCTTCTGGAGCCCCACCCCATTCACTCGCTCATTCATTCACTCAAGAAGCCTCTGTGGGTAGCTGCTAGGTGCCAGGCTCTGTTCCAGGCACTGGCCGTAACCGAGCCCATGACAGAATTCGTGCTCTCCTGGAGTTTACCCTGGAGCTGGGGAGACAGAAATAAGCAATAAGTATAGTAAAAAATAGTACTTTAGAAGAATTTTGTGGGGGGAAAATTGAGCCTGGTAAAATGGATTGGAAGGGCAGGCAGGGAGACATAATGGAATTCTAAATAGGTGGGGATGGCCCCTCTGAGAGGTGACATCCGAGTAGCCTTGAAGGGAAGGGGGGTGTCTTGGGGCAGCACATTCCAGGCAGAGGGAGTGGTCAGGGCCAAGGGCCTTCCAGGAGAAGATGCCTGGTAGGTGCGGGCAGGGCCCTGGAGCCAAGGAGGGCGGCAGAGTGAGTGAAGGGAAATGTGGGGGGCGCACAGCAGAGATGTCGGGAAATGTCATCTTTTACGGCCTTGGGGGCCACTGCAAGGGCTTGATTTCACAAGCAAAACGGGGAACTTAAATTTTGAAAGGATGATGCCTTCCTGGTTGCTTGGTCAAGAAGATCACAAGGGGGGAAGCAGGGAGACCCATGAGGAGAACACCCGTGATTCAGACTAGAAATGATGGTGGGCGGGACCAGAGTGTAAACAATAGGGATGATAGAAAGTGGTCAGCTTCTGTATAGATTTTGGAGTTAGAGTAAGAGCTCCTTGTGGACAGAGAGAGAGAGACTTGTCAAAGAGAACCCACTTTTGCTGCACTTCTAATGGGCAGCCCTCCAGGTCACCTGCAAGGTTGTTGTCCTGAGATCTACCTTTATACCATCCCAGAGATAGCTCCTCTCTTGCGTGGGATTCCCCGTTTTCTAGGGACAGTTCATCCTCTGCAACTTCCTTCCTGAGGACGGGTGCATGGGAGGTCGGTTTTGAGATGTTGCAGGTCTTAAAATGCCCATATTCATTGCAGAATAAAAGTTGAGTGTGGAGTTCTAGGTTGGAAACCATTTTACTTTGATTTTTTTTCTGAAGGCCTTGTTCCATTAATTTCTGGTCCCCAGTGTTGTATTTCAGGAGATACCTTTCATTCTGATTCTTATTCCTGCCTAAGTGACCTTATTTCTTCTCTTGAAAAATCTTACGAATTGTCTCCTTGTACCCAGTGTTCTAAGTTTTCACAATGAGGTATCTTTAAAAAAAAAAAAAAAATCTGCATTGCTGGGTATGCAATGGATTCTTTCAAACTGGAAATGCCATGTCCTTTAGTTCTAGGGTGTCTGCCTTCTCAGGTTTCTCTATTCCATCTAGAATTATCATTCTAGAATTATTCTTCTAGAATTATTATTCAGGTATTGGCTTTCCTGGACTGCTTCCTTCTGAGGAGCACCAGGGAGTTTCCTAGTTCAAATTCTGAAGAAAACAATTCACCCAACCAGCTCATCTAGTCGAGACAAGCCAGATTAGTCATGAACTGCCAACCAGACAATTAGTTGTTTTCCTTTTGCTTCACTTGGTCTAATCAGCTCTGGATCATGTGACACAGGACTGCCACTCCTTCGGGTTACATAAGCAGGAGGGTAGGCATTGAGAATAGGCTCGTTTCATTAAGATAAAGCTAATTGCAAATATTCTTTGCTGTCAAATCTTATGTTAAGTGATGGGTTCTGGATTAAAAAAATATGGTTATAGTATATATATATATGTATATGTATATACATACTTTTTTTACAGAGCAAATTGTAGAAATATTTTAAATATGACATACCATATTCTTTAGACATCTATTCCAGATGGATCAAAGATTAAAGCACTGAAAGAAAGAAAAGAAAAAAGAGAAAGAAATATATTAGAGGAAACATGGGTTAATAATTTTCAAATCACGATGTTGGTAAGATCTTACTAAGATGCGGTGGTGAGAACAAAGACCATAAAGGAAAAGATTGATAAAATTTATAAATATTGAATATTTGTGTTGAAAAAAAATTCTATTAAAATGTTAAAAAAAAGGGACGCCTGGGTGGCTCAGTCGGTTAAGCGGCTGCCTTCGGCCCAGGTCATGATCCCAGGGTCCTGGGATCGAGTCCCACATCGGGCTCCTTGCTCAGCAGGGAGCCTGCTTCTCCCTCTCTCTTCCTCTGCTTGTGCTCTCTCTGTCAAATAAATAAAATCTTAAAAAAAATAAAATAAATGTTAAAAAAAAAATAACCAGGAGGAAATTTGCAACACTTGACAGGCAGTTAGTAACCTTAAGATATGAAGAGTGCTTACAAATTAACAAAATTCTGTAGGAGAATTGACAAAGCAAAACAGGCATTTCATAAGAGGAAATATACATAGCAGATATGTGACAAGAATTCAACCTTATAATAATAAATGTAAAGGAAAGCAACATTGCTAAAATTGTCAAAGCTTAAAATGGTTGATAAAAGTGTATTGGCAAAGAGGGAAACAGGTCCTTTTTTAAATATTGGTGGGAATATAAATTGCTATGTCATTTTTTAGAAAAATAATTTATATAATCCCTATGTAATATGTCAAAATACAAAGTGCTTAGACCCTCTTATTTAGAAATTACACTTGTAGGGATGTGGGTTAAGAAGTGATTATAGAGGGGCACCTGGGTGGCTCAGTCAGTTAAGTGGCCAACTCTTGATCTTGGCTCAGGTCATGATCTCAGGGTCCTGGGATCGAGCCCCACATTGGGCTCTGCTCTCAGCAGGGAGTCTGCTTGAGGATTCTCTCTCCCCCTCTCTCTCTGCCCCTCCCCCTGCTCTTTCTTTCTCTCTCTCTCTCAAATAAATAAATAAATCTTAAAAAAGAAATGATTGTATAAATGTGAAAATATATGCACATAGATGATCAACACTTTGGTATTTATGAGACTGAAGACATAATCATTACCCAAATTGATAGCAATTAAAGACTGATGGGACAAAAGTTGGTACATAAAAACAATGGAATCCTATGTGGTCATTAGAGGTGATGATGTCAGTCCATATTTATTGGCGTGGAAAGGCATCTACTATACATGGTGGATGGAACAGAACAGTGTATCAGGTACAAGTATAGAATGATCCTATTAATATATCTAGGTACCTTTCAGTGAAGCTAAGTGTCTCTAGAGTGTAAGTTCCACAAGGACAAGGTCTTGTGTTCTTCACTGCTGGGTCGCCGGTGCCTGGAACCGCCCCTAGTACTTTGCAACCACGTAATAAATCTGTTGAATCAATGAATGAAAGATGGTTAGAAAGTTCTTCCCCCAAAGTTTAACATGATGGAGTCCTCATAATGTTTTTCTATGTTCTTTATTGTCCTTTGAGGTGTCTTCAAAATGCTTGTTTTTACCGAAACAAGTAAATCATAAAAAATGTGTGGTTATAATGCTTACTGCTGGGACAAATGTGGCAGTCCCAAATGTTTCACTGGCTGTATAAACTGGTTCAATTCTTTTGGAAAACCATGTGACATTAAATATTCAAAACTCACAGAACATTCCTACCTTTTGTCTATTAATCCTGCATGGGAATTTATGCTTAGGGGAAAAAAAAAACAAAAAAAAACTGTAAAATACCAAATGACCTGTGATGTTCATCTCAGGTTTTATATTAAGAAAATAACAACTCTGGACGACCTCAAGGGACCTGTAATGGAAGGAAGAATAAAAGTAAATTATGGCCAATTCACTGGATGGAATTTCACGTGACCATTACCAAGTCTGAAGACTGTAGTTACAAGAACAAAAAGAGGCTGAAAATGCAGGCATGCAGTGATTTAAATTATGCATAAACAAAATATTAATGTGGCATTTTCTTAGACTGGCGGAACATGGGTTTTAGAGCTGTGCACAGAGGCTTTTATTTCTGCATTGCTAAATAGCTGATACACAATCTTGCTCAGGCAAAGAGGAAGGACTCCACAAATTTTAGAGTCTGTTTTTATTGTTGGTGATGGTGATGGGATGATGATGATATTTTCAAAAATTTCAAAAGCTTGCCAGCTCCTGTCAGTTACGAACAGGATGAAAAGTAGACTAGCTAAAAAGGGAGGGAGGGAGAGTTTCGGAAAATGGATCTTCCGAGTTGGGCGGCACGTATCCTGGGACTGTCTGTCGCGGCCAGGAGCGAGGGAAAGCCGTTCGTGACCACACGGGGGCGCCGGCGCTCAGGCCGGGTGAGGTGTTCCGAAGCCTGTCCAGCAGAAGGCGCTGCTGGCGGAGGCTGGCCCGGGACCGGAAGCCGGGCCGGAGGCGGCCGGGCGCCCTCGCCGACTCCTCCCGCTTCCGCTGCCGCAGCCGCCGCAAGTCCGCGCCGACGTGCCGTCCGCCCTCAGCTGCTACCCCCGCTGCCGAGATGCCGCTGGAGAACCTAGAGGAGGAGGGTCTGCCCAAGAACCCCGACCTGCGCATCGCGCAGCTGCGCTTCCTGCTCAGCCTGCCCGAGCACCGCGGGGACGCGGCCGTGCGCGACGAGCTGATGGCGGCCGTCCGGGATAATAGTGAGGCCCGCGCGAGCGCCGAGTCAGCGGCCTAGGCCTGGGCTGGCCCCGCGCCCTGGAGCCTGCGGGCATTTTCCCCGAAGGGGCTCCGGGCTTGGGTGGGGGGTGTCCTCGGGGCCCTCCAGGCTTGCTCTCGGTTGGGGGGTCTGCATCCGTGGGGGCCCTTCTCTGAAAGCAGCTTTGGGGGGATATGCCGAGGGATCGAGCTCCGAGCCAGGCCCGGAAGAGAGGCTCAGGACTTGCTGTTCTTAGCGGCCGGGCCCGGGCTGGGGCAGCCCTGTAGGAGAGGTCAGCTGTCCGCATGACGGGGTGGAGTGGGGTCGGTGCCCCTGGGCTGTGTAGACTTGAACATAGATGTCTGAGGATGTGTCTAAGCCGTCTCCCGGCAGCAGACGTCTACGTTTTGCCAAGCTCTTTGCCAGGCTCTTCTGTCCCATGCCTTCCTGGTCACAGGGAGGAGAGTGGTGGATGAGCCGACGGGTGGGTGGGTGGGTGTGTGTGTGTGTGTGTAAGAAGGGGGTGGACACTGATTTTGAGGGTACCAGGGGCGCCGGCTTGTAAGTCCTGTCCCTCTTTTTGGCTCTCAGACATGGCTCCTTATTACGAAGCCTTGTGCAAATCCCTCGACTGGCAGATGGACACGGACCTGCTCAATAAAATGAAGAAGGCGAACGAGGAAGAGTTGAAACGTTTGGACGAGGAGCTGGAAGATGCAGAGAAGAATCTGGGAGAGAGCGAAATCCGGGATGCCATGATGGCCAAGGCCGAGTACCTGTGCCGGATAGGCGACAAGGTGAGTGGAGATGGTCCCCGCAGAGAGGCACTATTTCAAAAATTCACTTCCTTTAAAAAAAAAAAAACAAGCGCAAAGGTAATGTGCTTACCTGGCCTAGCGAATCAGCACAAAAATGAGTCAAGAAAAAGTTTTCTTTCTATCCCCTGTCCAGCCGGGTGTGTGTGTTCTTCTCTTTGTCAATAAAACTTAAGGGCTCTTGCAAAGATTTGTTGGTTTACTGCTCTTACAAAATTGGGATCATTCTTAGTAGTGCACTTTTCTCACGTTGGTTGGAAAGCACTGGTTCTGTTGAATTTTAAAAAATTATTTATACAAGTAATAGTCTCCTTATAAGAAACTGAACATTAGGGCGCCTGGGTGGCTCAGTTGGTTAAGCGACTGCCTTCGGCTCAGGTCATGATCCTGGAGTCCCGGGATCGAGTCCCGCATCGGGCTCCCTGCTT